TAGAAACCTAAAATAAATATCTCCGAATATGGCTCATAAACCACATTAAATACATTTTTATTACAAAATTAGATACCTAATCTAATAACTTAACTGTACATAAATAAATATAAATTACCGAAGTATATGAAAAGTACTAAATTAGCATTAGATAATTTTTATATACCTAGGTATTTATTTTAAAAAAGTTACATCTGTTTTTAATAAAAACTTATAAGTAATGCGTTTTTTTAGATCATCAAGTCATCAAGATCTAAAATAAATGAATGAAACAAAGTTATTTTTAAGTGATTGCTACACTAAAAAGCACGTTACACAAGATTAAATACCCGTAATAACAAATATCATAATGAATTGCTTTAAATCATCATTCATAACCCTTCACTCAAACCGGAATAATATTAATGCAATTGTTTTTGACTATTTAAAAATATATCATATACGGATGTTGAGGAACAATAAATAACAATGAGTATTAAAACATCATTCACGCGTGGAGTCCAGTGGCGTAACTAGGAATTTGGTTTTGGGGGGGGGTTTTATCCGCCTACCCCCCTAATTACGCCCCTGGCGTGGACTTACCTTGCTTGAACTAATACTGATAAATAATAATATTATTGGTTGGAGATGTTTTAACATTGTCAAGTCCTTTGAGACCCTATGCCCCAATAATTAAAGATATGATTTTCACAATTTAATTACATTTAAAATTATTTTTATTGTTACAAACAGATCATTGCTTACTTAATCCAATTGTTTTTCTAGGATTATGCCAAGATCAAAAGCAACACGGTGAAGGATTCAAATGCCCAGAAGAATTCGGATACTATCCACATCCAAATGATTGTTCCCAGTATTATGTTTGCGTATTCGGAGGTGCTCTTTTAGAGTCATGTACTGGAGGTTTGATGTACAGGTAAGCGTTTAATTGTAATACAACAATCCTGCAGCTGTAAATTCATATATAATATATAGGTATTCATTAACACTCCTAGGTTCCGGAATCCAAAAAATTATAGTTAGCATTTCGTAACATGTCTTATATTGTATCAGATACGAATGTATATAAATGTGATATACCACTTTCACACATCACACATCAGGCATATAATATTATGTGACGCAATGTTTTTATTTTTAAATACCATTTGTTCATTAACCAAACTCGATATTATTAAAAAAATTATATCAGATTGCGTGTGTGTGCGTGAAGTTCTTTTCAATTAACGCAACACCTGGCCTCGGCAATAGGGGTACTATATAGGACAGACGACACACGACAACGGTTGAGCGTATTTTACATGAATGTTATGACGTGATTATGTTGCTGCTCTCGTTTATGATCGGATTATAGATTTCAATTAAAAATAAATAAAATTTAACGACCCATAATAATTCAAAAGTTATTAGACTTCTGTAATATTTCATTATACATAGGATATTGCGTTAAAAATTACATAATAATATATTTTTGTTATTGTATTATTTCTATCACTTCATCCTGCTTCTTTTGAAAATCACGTCATCTGTGACATATGTATATGCCTATATAATAATATATATTATATATTTTGTTTCTTTTCATTTATTTTCATACAATTATATTCTATACAACATGTAATGTAATACTATAATGTAATCATTTGGGTATTACCATAATATAGAGTTAAACGTTTTTCGGAATCTAGAAAAGTCTGTAAAGTTTACCAATATACAATTGTTTATTACTAAATGTACCTATTAAGTTATAGAGACAAATAAGTAGGTAGGTAATCATTTTATATTGAATGATTTTTTAATTGAAATGATTTTAGATACTCTTACAGAATATGTATAGGGTGATCTAACTTTTAACCTAAAATAAAAACAAAACATCAGAAATTATTATCACATTTTGGGTTTTGGAAATTGATCATTTTTTGTTTTTAAATATAAATTGTACCTAATTTTTAAACCTGCTTAGAATATTTTATTCTCCCATTTGAACATTTGTTTGTGCATAATGTTGATATTTTGGTAGATGTCTATTAAAATTATTTCGATAAATTCCAGTAGATTACATATGGTTCAGTGTTCCTATGCCTACAATTATTTTAGAACACTTCTACCCAAACATTTTGTTTAAGTATACCTAAGCTAAAAAATAAAAAATATTTGTTAAATGTAACATTTTTATGTCCTCGTGACCACTATTGGGTCAATAGTACACATCATAAAACAATATTGGATATTTTTGAATAAAACTATTGAAACATCTTACTCATTACTTCATTTTATTTATGTATACTTGCCCAAAGTCGTATTTATTTTAATTAAAATAGTAGGTATATAATTATAACGATAAAACATTAATGAACTCGTTAAATCTAATATTTTCATTATCTCAGTATAATGAATGGTGTGTGTTTTATAAACTATTTTATAACACCAACATAATATCCCCGACTGTAAATTAAATAAAACAAAAAATAATGAATCATCAGGTGAAATATTGAAAATTATTTTGTCTTGTATAATCATATTCTTGAAACACATTCAATAAATCGTTAACAATAATGATCAAATTAAAAATCTTGAAAATGATTATAGTCACGAGCTACAAACATGCGATTGGCCTCGTAATGTAGGATGTGGAGCTGAGGCTACAGCTACCCAATCCGATAACCAAGAAAACGCACTAGCTTTGGCCCGATCGTCTGATCGTCAAAGGCATCCATCAGCACAACCTCAGAGAGCTACTCCGTCTATATTTAACCAACGCCATCAAGTTCAAGACCAACAAGTCAATGAACAACTTGTAAAACAACAACAATTATATGAAGAAGAAGACTTCAGGGCAATTGAAGATGACAGTGATAGACAACAAAGAGTATATAGAGGTCAACCTTCCACATTGGGTCAAGTAGCTAGAGATAGAGATGGAATTTCTAAACATAGAAATATTATACCGGTAACAAATTAAAATAAATCAGCACTCATTAATATTTTAATAACATTTTACAGATTTAAAGATATGGTTAATAACTATACGTGTATTTTTATATTCTAGCAATTTTCAGGTGTAGAAAAAAACAAACAATTTCAAATCCCAAATCAAAATTACAGGTTAGTGATTTTTAAATATATTATATATACTTACAACTAATGAAAACCTACAGAACTTTTAATACTTAACATTTTGTTTGTACATAATATACACGCATGTTGCAACAGAAACGATACGAGCAAAAACAATGGTAGACAACGTCTTAAACGACAGACCCGACAGAGGTAACAACTATCACACTTTGTAGAACCAACTTAAGCACTGTTAATACCAATTACCATCAATATTATATTGAATATTGGTAGTAATGGTGAAGGGAACAACTTGATACTGTGTAATTTGTATGATGACACCGTTGTTTTTATTAAACATTAGCTACAGCGGAATGACAAGACCAAGACCAACTGAGATGACGATGTCAACAACAAATTATGCTTTGCGAAAATTACCAAAAGACTACCGGATCATCCCTAGACCTTCATCATATGTACCTATAACAAACACAGACAACTCGAGACAAAGTAAGCGGTGCCTGTACGAATCAAAAATATACCCGGGACTTATGATCCCATGTCCTACTTCTCGATATCGAGTGCCTCCTTATCGCCAACGTTATCAAGAAAATGATGAAGTTTATGACCAGGTAGACGACGAAAACCCTGGGACAAATGAAGAAATTGAAGATAAAGGGGATTATCCAGAGAATCATGATAATCGTGAGAATCAGAACCAAGATGAATACGAAGAAGAAAACCCACAACCACTTAATGCTGATGAGCAATTTGAACAATTAGTAACTAGAGTGAGATGTAAGGGTAAAAAATGTACTCAAAGCAATAATAGTAAATACAAATATGAAGAAAATGAAGAAAATGCAAGTCAAGAAAATGAATATGAAAATGAAAATGGAAAAGAAAATGAAAACGAAATGAAATGAAATGAAAATGAAAATGAAATGTAAATGAAGAAGAAGAAAGTCAAGAAGAATCTCCTGATTCTAAAGAAGAAGAGCAAAAGCCTTTACCTAAACCAAAACCTAAGCCAAAACCTATTCCCAAACCTAAAGGAATTAATCCCAACCTTCATCATCCTTTAGCAGTAGTTCATAATTACCAACCAGCAAATTTCACAAAAATTAAAAATAAAAATAATGATGGGACAGACGTAAACAAAAATAAAGACAATGCCGAAGAAGAAGAAGAAGATGAAGAAAATAGTCAAGAAAGTAGACTTGAAGATTTAGAAGAATATAATGAAGGAGATGACTTACAAGATGATGAATATTACTATGATGACGAAGAAGAATATGATCAAACACCAAAGAAACCCAAAATACCTCAAAAATTAATTAATATAGATGATATGAAATTCAAAGGAGAAGGAGATGAACCTTCAGAAAGTATATCTAAAAATACTGTACTAAAAAATGTTTCAAAAACTAACGATTTACATAAGCCACATAATTTGGAATCGACTCAAATACCACATAGACCAAAACCTTATGATTCAGCTGCAGAAGCTTACAATCGGGTAAAAGACAAAAATAAACCTCAGGACCAACAAGTTATGCAAATGGCTATTCATGAAACTACAGTTGCTTTAAATTTAGTCGACAAACAAAATAATAAATACAAATTGCCAACTAAGACTGACACAACAACGATATCGGCTAAATATAAGCCAAGACCAACTTTCCGACCAAACATTTTAAAAAGGTGAGACTTTTACTATGACTTAACATGAACACATTTTAGGCGTTCTTTAATAAAATGTATCACGTAAGTAGACAAATTTAAAGGTAAAATATTTTTAAGCAAGTTTTACTAATAAAGGACGCCTAATTCAACTTATAACTTTACTAAAACTTCAATTTTTTTTAAATTATAGTAGGTTTAATACAATTTGAACCTGTGACCCTTATAATAGAATGTATGCCATATAAACTAATTTTAATATGAATTGTAGACCCCAACAGATTTCTGTTCCGTCCTATGCTATTGAGCAGACTGTACAACCAATTACCACTGCTAAAACCATTACTTCCACTAGTAACCGTAATGGAACACAATATGATCCGGCTTTCTACAGTATTTATGATGACGATTCTGAAATCTACAAAGATGTTGGTGAGTTAGTTAATGTTTCTCATAGATCATATTTGATAAATTGATTTTTGAGGTTCAATTATTATCATCACTATGTATATATATAAAAAATATATTTATAGATTATGGTCAGTTTACCTTATCATCAGTAAACAACAATAATAATAGAATAAAATCTCAGCATCAACCGCAGCTTCAGTCTCAGCCACAACTTCAGCTTCAGTCTCAACCTCAACAAGATACTTATAGAGTCGCGGCACCTTTGCAACAACCTACACAAAGATACCAAGCAAATACATATGTACCAGAGTATAATCTTAAGGCAAGTATTAATTTGTATTGAATTATACTGAATTATATTCTTAGGTTAAAACCATTTATTCCATATTTTATAAATGGAACATTTACTATTGAAGTACTATTGTATAATATGACGTTATGGTACGTTATTAAAAAATTAATAACCACAAGTAAATTAACGTTATACACTTATACCTGCTACAATGAACTTAATCAGACTTCAATATTTCAAAATAATTATTCTTTATGTTAATGTTACGACCGATTGAATTGTTTACAGATCACTGAAGAAGAAGCTCAACGAGAGCAACAGACCAAAGCAACCTACAGGTGAGAAACCATTTTTTTTTTTTTCATTTTAATTTCGCTTATGGTTAGGTAATTATATTTTTGGTTAGATAAGTGGCTAAACAAATTATTATTATTTTATGATATATATATATATAACCACAAAACTGCGACGACATGTAAATAAGGCCGTGTGGATTTATTATTATTAAAATAATATATACGATGTATAAATTAGTGGGCGTATGATTTGTTTGTACCATATAGTGTTTATACAAATTAAATGTAAAAATATTGTTAATGTAATAACTAAAAAAATTGTACATAATATGATAATGTGGTTTTAAATTGGAATGGATTTTATATTTTCTAAGACAAGTCTAATCTTCAATGATATTGACCTAATGATCTTTGAATGCAGATTCATTATAACTATTAAACTATCTAATAACAAAATTATTTATAAAATTATATACTCTTTCACTGCCTTATTTACATAACATACAATGACTAAACTTACCAACTTTACTTCTAATTTTATTTGTACATACTTACTCTTAATATTGTACATATAATTTTAATTAGGTCAACAGTCGTCGGTGTAAGTCCCTTCGTACCGGACCGCTCAAAGTTTAAGTTCCCCGTGCAGACTTCTACCCCCACAAGGTTCACATTTCCTACAACAACACCCATACCATCCACATTACCTTCTACTACTCTTTCAACAATGCTCTCTTACCCATCAACTCCTTCATTGTTTTTAAGACCCCCGTCGCCTCAAGGCAGCTATTTCTGGACAACCATGTCCACCACCCAAAAATCAAAACCCACGCCTCCAGACTTTAGAATAATCGTAGATCCTTACAACACCACACAATATGATGTAACCACACATCGTGGTACTGTTAAGACTACAACGTTCAAAATCAGAACCACCCAAGCTCCAACTACCACCTCCACCACACCCAGTACAACTACAACAACATCGACAACTACTACTCGATCGGTGGATTTCGATCAAGAGTACGATGTTGTAGTTGAAGATGAGGGAACAGGTTATATTGATGATAATTCAGTAGAAAAAACTAGTACAACGTCCTCAACTACTAAAGCCCCACTAAGGTCTTCAGTATTAAAAAACACTAATGATTATTCAAGAGTCAAGAGCGGTCCGAGTATTCAGCCAGTCACGGTACCAGCACCCACAAGCAAAACAGTAACAGAATGCCGAGAGTGCAACGAAAAACCATCAAGGTATGGAGGATTATTGAGGGTCAATACATATCAGATTTTATCAGAAATAACTCATAAATTCTTATATTTATCTTTGCTAGCTACTATAAAAATGCCAAAAATATGTTTTTATGCCCTCAAACAAATATCAACGCATAATTATATGTATAAAATATGTACAACATTATTAGGCACAGTAAAAAGACATTATTGATAAAATGAAATTTTGAGTAAAAGCAATGATTTATTTTATTGTTTTATTGTAATCTGTACTCTTATTCGTGACAACATTGATATTAATTTATGAATTTATTGCCACTTAACTATAGCGACTCTTGAAAATATGACAAGTATTCGGCTAGTAGATTAAATTAATGAGGTGATTTGTTCGTTTCTTATATAACATAGTAACTTACAAATTATTCTTTATCAATATCAATTCGAAACTAAAAGAAAATATCAAAAATTAATTTATTACGTACACTATTACTATTGTATAAATAAAATATATTTACATTTTTACATTTTAAATAAATTATATTATTTTTTCAATTTACTATAATATATTAATATAGTAACTAAATACTTCATTACAACATACCTACAAGGATACAACATAAAATAATATTGAAATGAGATAATGAATAAAAATTAAATAGGATTTGACAGTGATAATAAATTTCTAAATAAGTAATAACTGTAATACACACTGTTAACAACTTAGATAAATTATTATAATATTGATTTTAACGTTTCAACCAAAGTTTTTTTTTTTTTTACTATACTATCTCTTACTTTTCAAACCCGCTATCAGATAACTAGTTACATAAAAAATTTTTTTTTAAATATCAAGTTAAAAAGCTGTTCGTATTATAAAATTCGCTATGCAGGGGAATAAACATGGAAAGGAGTCTGATTATCCTTTTTGTTGTTAATTTTTGATGAATACCATAGGCGTGCGCAGACCTGGATTTCGGGGGGTTCCTAGTTTCCTACAATATTTTTGGGCCCTCTCTTAACAAGACATGTACATTGTACATAATACATATTTTAGTAAATTATATTGTACAAATAAATATTACTTACTTAGTTACATGTTTATTTAACATTCTAATACAACAGTTATAGATTTATAATAATATGCGTCTATTACTTAAATTATTAAACTCATTAATAAGTAATAACTAAATCTACTTCAACATTAGAGGCCATTTCTTGTTCCGTAAAAAGTAAAATTAATGATTCCAAACAGTATTGGGTAATGATACTGCTGAATTTACTTTTCACAATATTTAATTTCAAATATAACTACCTGTTCATATGAACAACTTGTACAATGCTAAACATCAAATAAATATTAAATATTTTAGGGCCCCAATTAAATGTCAGGGGGTGCCCAGGCACACCCGGAACACCCCGTGCGCACGCCTATGATGAATACCTACCAAAATGTAATGTAGTTTTATATAGTTTACAAATCCATGATGATAATCTAATATCTAAATAGTACATTAATTTAAGAATTCAATAAATTAAGATAATTAATATTTATTATATTACAGTTATGTGTCATATTAATTATAGTTTTAGTTTTGGCAATACTGGCACCAATTTTAAATGCTCATAAAATTATTATTTTAATGTGAATAACTAAATTTTAAATCAAGTTGATAAATTTACTGATATGCAATGACTCGTATTGACTTTAAATAATAAATGTATAAAATGTCAAAACTTGCATGCTGCAAATTGCAATGGCGAGTTTTGAATGGTGGAGGGAATTATAAGCTTTTCAGCTTTTTAAATTTTTTTCTGAATTTCCTGTTTATTGTGGTTTTTTGTTGCACTCCATGTTTTTGTAATACCTAATCAAATAACCCTGCACTCTATAATTGCTTTTTGATAAAAGTGTTTTAAAAAATGTTTGCATTCATGAGCTTTGATGCATTAAACTGTAAAAACAGTTACTACTAAATTTATGAAAATAATGACACATATATGGCCACTAATTGTAATTAAACTTAAAGGCCTTTGGTAATTTTAAATACATGTGTATGTATTTAACAGAGGCAGAGTGCGAGGAGGTGCAACATATACGACAGCAAGCACTAATGATATCGATAGAGGAACTCCTGCAGTTGGGTATGTTAAACTTCATTGTTATTTATCTTAACTATTAACTTAATACCCTTTATATTTATACACTTGTTATTTAACGAATATTATCTTAACAGGAGAACAAGACCGACATTAAAGCCATCTACATCCATTGTCAGTAAGGTTTCAGAATATGTAGATGTTTACAAATATGCACCAACGAGGTAATATTATATTTGATACAAATTATCGAAAAAAATTTAATATTTTCATTTTGAAATGTAATTTCAGGCCTGATCCAATTTATCCGACTCCACAACCCGATAAAACTGCTGCGAAATGTAGAAAGGACGTTTGTCAACTACCAGACTGTAGTTGTGGTGGCAAAGAAATACCTGGTAAGATTTCACACTTGGAAATGATTGCCTATGTAAAAATTACACTATTCACATTATAAAATATTTACTAGGCGATATGACACCAGAAGAAACTCCGCAAATTGTCTTATTAACTTTTGATGATTCGGTTAACGATCTAAACAAAGGACTTTACGCCGATTTATTTGAAAAAGGCAGAGTAAATCCCAATGGCTGCCCGATAAGTGCTACTTTTTACGTATCGCACGAGTGGACAGATTATAGTCAAGTACAAAATTTATATGCTGGTGGTCACGAAATTGCCTCGCATTCAGTTTCACATAGTTTTGGTGAACAATTTTCACAAAAGAAATGGACAAAAGAAATTGTCGGGCAAAGAGAAATATTGTCCGCATACGGTGGAGTCAGACAAGAAGATATACGAGGAATGAGAGCCCCATTTTTAGCTGTATGTCGAAACAAAATTATTTTTATACGTTTAAGTTACATAAATGGACATTTATCATGTTGAAATTGAATTATAGGTGGGAGGCAATAAAATGTTCAAAATGTTGTATGACAGCAACTTTACTTATGATTCTTCTATGCCAATTTACGAAAACAAACCTCCTAGCTGGCCATATACACTTGATTATAAATTATTCCATGACTGTATGATACCACCATGTCCAACCAGATCGTACCCAGGTAAAATACGATTATGATTTATAGAATAAAAATGATGATTAAACAACAAATAACATCATGTTATAGGAGTATGGGAAGTCCCTATGGTTATGTGGCAAGACTTGAACGGAGGCAGATGTTCCATGGGAGACGCTTGTAGTAATCCATCAGATGCCGATGGAGTACAAAAAATGTTAATGAAAAACTTTGACAGACATTTCACTAGTAACAGGTAAAGTTATCTTAAAATCTTGAATTCGGTCGCTTGTACTGGCCGATGCTTGCATGAACACGTTTTGTGACTGAATGCAATCACCGCGTCACACCAAGCCACAAAATAAATGTCTTATACATTATAAAAACTACTAAGATTTATAAACTTAGAATAAATTGAACCATAATATTTATTCACCAACATAATATTATGATTTAAATATACATGATTACATCCCTAGTTTCGTTTTATAGAGCTCCATTTGGACTGTTTTACCATGCGGCTTGGTTTACGCAACCTCACCACAAAGAGGGCTTCATCAAATTTTTAGACAATATCGTGAGCATGCCTGAAGTTTGGATCGTCACCAATTGGCAAGCCATCCAATGGGTGAGGGATCCCACATCAATCTCAAGATTACAGTCTTTCACACCGTTCCACTGTGACTTATCGGTAAGCGTAAAACACTTATTTGATAAATCATCAACTTAATAGAAAACTTGATTAAATTCTACATTCAACGTGTATTCTATGAATGTGGAAAAACGATTACATAACTAACTATTCGCCATTCAATATATCTGTAGGCTACAAACAAATACTACCTATATTATACGACAATACGGGAAACTTAATGTTAATGGCTGGCGACATAAAGATAATTTTACTAGTGGTTGCCTATACAAAATCCCCTTTAAAATATAGAATTTGTTATTCAGGAAATGAATAGGCAACCACTAGTAATATTAATCACCATAGACCACAGTATCTTCGAAAAAATGTACGAGTTTCCCTTATTGTCGTATATAGTATTTGTTATAAATCATAATATACGTGTATCTTCTACCTTTACATGACTTATGTAGGTACCATTACTTGTATATTATGAGTAATCAATTTATATACATTATAATATCTACTATAAATTATAAAATTATCAATAGATAGTTTCATATAACTTTTATTTTTATTATCTCAAAGGAGAGGCCAAAGAAGTGCAACAATCCCAAAGTGTGCAACCTGTGGCACAAGTCAGGCGTCAGGTATATGCGCACATGTCAGCCATGTCCAGAAATATATCCATGGACGGGAAAGTCTGGAATCAGGAGTAGTCGGATTGACGACGGTAGCGAATAAACCATCATCATCAATAGGCCAAAACGATTTAAAATTATTATTATTATTATTATTATTATTATTATTATCATTATTATTTTTATTACTACTATTGTCAATATAAAAATTATGAAAAATTTTAAACATGTGACCACTTTTTCACATCGCATTTTGGCACGACGTTGAAAAACTGATTACATGTACAACATGCAACATACGCTCAATACGACAGTCTATCAACTGCTTCAAAAATATAATTTATTACACTTTCAATTTTTTCTTTACAAATTTCGTTCAAAGTATATTAGTCTTAATATAGAAATTATAAGTCTCAATTCTCAAACAATCGAATGAATATTGTATGTGACCTATTATAGGTATTTGTATTATTGTTTTTACTTACAACTCATAAATATAAGTTTTATACAATAAGTATAAATTTAAATATATATTATATATATTATGTATATGTATATATTATAATAAAAGTTCATTTTGTATAGCTATATTTTGTAATTATTTATAAAACTCCTAAGTCAAAAATGTCGTCCATAAAAAAAACATATGTTAGAAGTATCAAATAATATTATTAACGTATATTATTATATTATTGGTTGTACGATATTTCAACGGTTACCTACTCAATAGTACTCATTAGGCATAATATGGTTTTTTATATGAAAATTACATAATGCAATATTAACTTATAAACATTTATATTTATATGTATATTATAATAAATTATATATACTTAGAAAATGTCATAGGTAGGTACGTAGCAATTTGAATTTATATATATTTTAATCTAAAAGAAATTGTACATATCAAATGTATATTTTAAAATAACGACTTTATTATTATTTACAAACAACACATCCAAAGCTAGTTTAAATTCTTCGTTGGTAAATGAGTACCTAATTAAGTAAATATATTTGAATTAAAGAATTAAACACCCTATTTGAGTAGCTTATAAGGTTAAGGTTGGTTAATAGTTAATAGTTAATAACACTTATACCCGACAAACGCATTTACCTAATGTTATTTTAATATAAATATTTTAGCAATATTACACTAAAATATTATAGTTATGTTGGTATAGTATAATTAAAATTATGTCCATAGCACAGGCCAGTAGGCCACAGACTAATATATTATATACTTTAGTTCTTATAGTCCGTGATGGTGTATAGTAAAAGTTGTACACTTGTATACAGTAGTTGTACATCTAACATTTCATAATCTGGCACCCTTATGTTCCGGTTCCATACTTCCATTAATATTTACCTATAGTCTATAAGTCTATATAATATATAGATAAAATAACTAATAAACTAATGGGAAAATATTCCGAAAACAAGTCGATCGGAATATGCTTATTTATTTTAAAACTATATGAGAATGGACATCATCTGAAATTAGAAAAGCTGCTAAAAAGTTAGGTAAGTAAAATGTATATAGAAGGCCGGATCTGGCAGTCAAAGTGAGCCACTATATACTTGTGATACTTTAACTGGCGTCTGGCAATGTTACATTAATAAGAAGAGATTACGACTTTACTAGATATATCTCGGCATAGACCATATAGAACCTCAAGTTTGGTGATCAGAGCTGGTAGGCTTAGTGACCGACTACAGCTGTTTACTTGTCAATAAAGTGTCTTAGGGGTTAACTGAACTCCACCGCATGATTCAATAAGATGACGGTTGAAATTCAGATATTGTAGTTCTGGCATTTTTCAAAGTAGGTATTTTAATCTTAAAATGTGACCAATTGCATTCTATTATGGACAGTGGCGTAGCCAGGGGGGGGAGCTATTGACTGTGTTGCCCTTAGAATTTTATCAAGGTTAATATATTGTATAGGTATTGTATTTGTATTTTTTGAATTTTTCTGTGAGACTTAGCCCCCCCCACCTTCGCCATACAAAATACATGGCTAGGTACTGGTAGCTAGGTACCTACTTACAAAGCAATACAAGCTAAATAATGAAAAAATAAGAAATCATTAGACAACAACAGACGTAGTCATTTGAATCGCTACGACATTGCTAAAATAGGTAAATAATAAGTTAATGGATGCATTTTCCATTAGATACCTACGTATAGAACAGAAAATAATGAAGTTATGATATTAAGTATGAATAGTATGATACTCTTAATAAGTCACATAAATAAACAGGACATGGACGCATCATGGGGACATGGACACATGGTGAACTACATAAAATGGTTAATAATTTAATAAATAATTATGTTAATATAATATCTCAACAAAAATCCTTCGGTGTAAAAATGGCTAAGTAAAAAAAATATAAGATCTTTAAGCACTATAAAGATGTGATATCAATATATCATGAATAAATGCTAAGTATATTGAATTTAAGTAAACTTATTGTATTTCAATAATTTATTTACTTGGAGAGGAATTATTGCTTGAAAGAAACAAAGTGTGATGAACAAAATAATTAAATGGCAAAAGAATATTAAAATATCACTTATTATTATTTTAAAAATATTATTTTTAATATTTATATAGGTACTATTCTAAATAATTCCTCGAAAAGTAAATACAATAAATTTACTTAAATTCAATATATTTAGCGTTTATTCATGATATCACATCTTTATAGTGCTTAAAAATCTTATATTTTTTTTTCTTAGCCATTTTCACATAGTTTACAAAGGGTTTTTGTTGAGATATCACTAATTACTATTTAGTAATTAATTTTTAACATCAATGCAAATAATGATAATGTATAATATATATTTTTATCTATATAATATAGTATATGGTATAAAGTACGGCGTAAGTACTGACAATAATATTGTTTGTTTAAATACTGAGTATAAATATTGAGTATTTAAACAATGATCTAGCTATAAGAACGGTAATATTGTTTATAGTACGGTAATTTTGTCATATTTTCCCCGATGACTAGATAACAAACATTGGCAACGCTGTTCCTACGACGACGACCACGACGGCGGCTACCATGATTCTGAATTTAATATAAATTTCCATTAAAAAGTTCACACTTTTTCATTTATAACTTAATTTCTAAATGTACGATTTTTACAAAAGCACATTCTACACAATATTTCTAATGTTTTGGAGTTTACTAGGAGTTAATTGATGCATTAGAAAATAGTTATGTCACTGAACAAATTAACCGGTATTTTACACAGTTTAAATGGCAACTTCTTAAATGGCTGTTTCGTAGCTCCACAAATCTTGTCCATCTATCTTGCAACGTTTTTTTTTTATATAAAGTGTATGCAGAGTAAAAACTTATCTTAACTTTTCCGTTACCAGGAAAAAAAATTCTGATTGTTCAACTCCTTTTGGGTGTAATATTATGATGTGGAAGCAATATCTTTTTAAGTGTAAATGATTCAGTGTAATTTTCCTAAAAATTTTTTTCATAAGAACCTAGTCCTGTCAATTAAGAACATAACAAAAAAAGAATCAGCCAAATCGGTCAATCTGTTCGGAGCCAACCCGTGACACAAAATCTGGACTTGCTTTTATAGTATAGATTAATTATATACTATGTAAATCACGTCTTGTTATTAAATTTTTTTTTAAACAATTGTGCAAGGTGCTTAAAAAAGGGAGATTAAAAAAAAGAGTAGTTTTTAAAGTCAGGAGTAGTAGTAGAAAAATATATGTGAAACATTTCATTGATTTTTTTTTAATTTTTCACAAAGTGAAAATTTATTTATCTTAACTCTAAGAAAAAATAAATTTAATACCTACATATTTAAAATGTTTATAATATGAAACGAATTGAAATGTATACCATATAGTATATAGAAGATGCTAATAAAAAGTTTTTCCCAAATATGAAGAAAATAAATTTTAATGTCACCCTTAAGTGTACACTACTACATCCAATTTGCAATCAGAAATCATCCCCAATGTTGAAGAACAAAGCATTTTTATACACTTAATTGTAAAATCTCAATAAGTACGCATTAATCGCTGCGATCCAGGGCCGGATTTAAACATTATGGGGCCCAGGGCAAAAATATTTTGGGGCCCTAAATGATCCATAACAAAAATTGCATACCTACCTAAACTTATTTCATGCGTAAAATATATTTATAGACTATAGTTACAACTAAAAATAACTATTTATGTTAAATAAATTGAACAAGTCATACAGTAATATATTATTTTTATTTTATTAATAAAAAAATATAATCTATGGCTAAAATGTATTTAATTAAATATATATATATTAATAAACTGTACCAAAAATTTGTATTTATATTTTTAATAAAGAAAATAGTCAATTAAAAGTTAAGATTATTATTACAGTCATTAACCTATTATGTTTACATAGAAAATAGAATATTATAAATTGCATACTTTTCTTGATTTCTTTTCTGCAAAGTCATCTATAATATCATCAAATGACAGATTATCCAACACATCACTTTCAATGCTCATAACTGATAAAAAGTTCAAACGATCTTCATTCATTGTAGTTCGTAATCTATTTTTTATAATTTTCAATCTTGAAAGCGTGCGTGACTTGTGACTGTGTGCGTAGTAAATGATTATTAGTATGTGTACGTGTCTCGCACTACACGTCTTCACCCTGTAATACTCGCTTTACTTCTTATCTTCTAATTGACAAATAACTACATCAATGTATAGTAATACATAATAATAATCATTGCATATAAAATAACAATACGCACATAATGTATATTATTCATTTATTAAATATTTCTGAAAACTGATTTGAATCCGTTATTATGTATGTCTACTAGAGATCGGTCAGTCAACATTTTAAAAATTCTAAATTCCGAATAATTAATATTCAAATTCAGAAATTTCAAAATATTCAAATTAAATTATAGTTGTTGTTGGGGGAGGTGGTAAAATTGGGAAAAGTGGACTGACCGTTCTCAATTAGATATAATAACGAATTCAAATCAGTTTTCAGAAATATTTTTGCATTATTAGGTCGATCGGTAGAATGGTCAAAAGATAGGTATGTTTTGACTAAAATA